CCGGGATGCTGTATAAATGCAAGCTGTTGTTGTTGAAGGCAAGGGAGGGGCTGAGTCTGAGGGACTCCAGGATGGAGTTTCAGTGGGTGGAGGCAAAAAGACCGATAGTGAAAGGGGCAGCATGGGGGACGTGGAGCAGGCCAGTACCTGGCGAGTGGACAGGTTGGTAAAGGTTCAATAGGTCGCAGAAGTAGGGAGGAGTAAGACTCTGGAGGGCTTTAAAGGTGAGGACAAGTATCTTGAACTCGATGATCTGAGGAGCCATTAAAGCCAGGCGAGGATGGGTCTAATCGGGTCTCAGAGCTTAGTGCAGAAGAGGACAATAATTTGCAGTTTGTGGAGGGAAGAGTTGGGAAGTTCAGTGAACAGGGAGTTAGTATAGTCAAGCTTGAACATCATGAAGGCATGGATGAGGGTCTCAGCAGCCTGATGGGAAAGATAGTGGTCAAGGCGGGTAACGTTCCAGAGATGGGGGATGGCAGAACGGATCGTAATAATAATATTTGTATTTGATACAGTGCCTTATCACGTTGTTTGGACATCTCAAAGTGCTTCACAGGATAAACTGTAAAGTGAATTGACTGTATATTTTGTGGAAAAAATGCGGTAGCTGGTTGCACACAGCAGTGAATCATAGAATCGTACAGCATAAAAAGAGGTCATTCGACCCATCGAGTCTGTGCCGGCTCTTTGAAAAGAGCAATGTAATGTCAATCTCACTCCCCAGCCCTTTCCCCATAACCCTACAAACCCATCCTCCTCAAATACCCATCCACCGCGTTTTTAAAAGTTGTTATCGAATCGGCCTCCACCACCCTTTCAGTGTCCGACAAACAGTCGTGCATTGAGTGACCAAATTGTTATTATTAATATTTTGAAGGGATTATTATTACCTCTGGAAAAGCAATCGACTAACAACCGGATTCCTACTTACTGCTAGGCAATCAGAGCACTGTGGAGTAAGGAAACTTGCCAAAGGTTTTTCCCTGCCTGGGTAATGAACTCGGGTCCTCTTCCTTGCCAGGCGAACGCTCTAACCAATACGCTGCAGGACTCCTCCATGGCATAGAGGTGGAGTTCAAAAGATAGTTGAGGGTCAAATAAGTCACCAAGTTTGCGTACTGCTCGGTGAGGTGGAGAGTGGTGCATCCAGGAATAGTGATGCTGTCAGCACCTGAGGTCTGACAAATACTCCATCAACGCCTTGGGACATCCTCCCAACGTGAAAGGCGCTGTACAAATGTAATTTTGTTGTTGTTGTCTGTCAGGACAGCAGTTGCCTGGGGTCAAGGGTGGAAGCAGAGAGATAGAATTGGGTGACATCCGCATATATGTGGAAGTTAACCCCATGTCTGCGGATGATATTCTTGAGCGAAAGCAGGTAGATATTAAAAAGGAAAGGATCAAGGACACACCCCTGGGCAACGCTGCACGTGACTGTGCGAGAGCTGGAGGAGAAGGTTGGTAGAAACAAAGTGGAGACGATGGGAAAGGCAGAAAGAAACCAGGCAAGGGCAGAACCATGATTGTGGAGCTGAGGGGCCATGTGGCAGAGAAGAATAAAGACAATGCTTTCATAAAGACATGAAAAGTAACTTTGAAATAAAACCAATTGAAGACTGGAAATTGTGAGGTCTTCACCACCGAATAATGCCAATTGACATTTCACAGGATACCTGCCTGCTCGCTTCTTACTGCTCAATTTTCTGACATCTTTCATTTGAAAATTGATTGGATCTAGAAAGGTGATGCCCTGTCATAGTTCTGATACGCAAGACTTAAAATTGGTAATCACAAAAGGGCGTGGGAGTGACATAAGGTGATGAACATAGGTTTGAGAACTAAAGAACATTGGTTGTTTTAAAGAACAAAGATTCAGGTGCAGGACCTCTCCTGCTGGCAGACAGTTGTACAGATTCAAAAGCAACCTGCCTATACTGTTGGCAACAGATATTAGGCAAATATAAAGATTCAGAGAAATAATTTACGTTGAAAAATCATACAACATTTTTTTTGAAAACTATTGTATTGTAAATTCAACCACAACAAAATTTCATTTATATAGCGCTTTTCATGACGGCAGGATGTCCCAAAGCGCTGTACAGTCAGTGTTTTGGACCCAAGCTGGGGGTTGGGATTGGGGAGGGTGGAGGATAGGGGAGGAAGCAGAGTGATCGAAAGCATGGTTGAAGAGGAGGGTCTTGAGATGCGTCTTGAAGGCGGCAAGGGAGGGGGATCAGGTGGAGGGACTGTGGGATGGAGTTCCAGAGCGTGGAGGCAGAGTGGCAGAAGGCCTGCCCGCCAATGGTGAGCCAGGGGAGGGGAACGTGAAGCAGGCCGGAGCCCGCTGACCAGAGGGAGTGGGCAGGATGGTAGTGGGCTAGAGGTTGCAGAGGTAGGGGGGAGCAAGGCCATGGAGGGCTTTGAACTGTATCTTAATCTGTATCCGTGTAATGGGAAGCAAGTGGAGTCAGGCAAGGATGGGGGTGATAGGGTCACAGAGCCTTTTGTGGGAGAGGACATGGGCTGCAGAGTTCTGGATGATCTGCAGCCTATGGAGGGAGGAGTTGGTGAGGCCGACAAGCAAGGAGATGGCGTAGTCAAGCCTCAGTGTTATGAATGCGTGTAGGAGGGTTTCAGCGGCATGCGGTGTGAGACAGTGGCGGAGCCGGGGCAATGCTGCAGAGGTGGGAGAAGGCAGAGTGGGTCATGGCATGGATGTGGGGTAGAAAGGATAGGTGAGGCTCAAACAAGACCCCAAGGTTCTAGACTGGCTTAGTAAGGTGGAGTGTACATCCATGGATGGTGATGTTGTCAGCACCTGAGGTGTGGAGGTGCTGACGGGAGTCAATCAGGAGAGCTTTGGTCTTGTTGACGTTTAACTGAAGAAAGGTAGCTCTCATCCAGGACTTGATTTCTGACAGGACAGCAGTGGTCCTGGAGTCAAGGATGGGGGCAGAGAGGTACAGTTGGATGTCATCTGCATACATGTGGAAGTTGACCGCATGTCTGAGGATGATGTCGCCAAGAGGGAGGATATAGATATTGAAGAGGAGTGGACCAAGGACAGAGCCCCGAGGAACACCGCTCGAGACGGTGCGGGGACTAGAGGAGAAATCGTTTGTGGAGATGAAGTGGAAGCAGTAGGAACTGAACCATTCAAAGACAGAACCGTGAAGGTTTGTACTTTCACGGTGAATTCGTACCTCAAGCCGTTGGAAGGATAGTTTGAGGCATAGTTTATTGCAATATCACAAATCATTAGAAATTACAGGAAGAGGCCATTAAGCCTAAACTGGTGTAAGATCAGCTCCAGCAGCAGACTATTCTTCCAATTTCCTAATCCTTCCTCTTACTCTTATATTTTTCTTCCTTGTAGTGATTGCTAAAAGACAAGGAGAGATGTTGTCCTGAATATATAAATTAGTTATCTCCACTTGGTGTGATTTACGTTGTTGAACTTGAAATTTAGCATTTAATAATTGTACTCCAATTGATAACACCACATCGAGACTTTGAACTCACATAGTTCAGGCTGAGACGCCAATGCAGTGCTGGTCGAGGCTCTGCATTGTTGGACAGTCTTGAAAACCAAGATATAAATATCCCATGGCACAATTCAAAATATTCTGATACGATTCTCCATGGAAATTGGAAACAAAAAACAACATGAGAATCCATTTTGTAAAAGATCCCAAGTTGTGTTAATTAAGTAGGAGGGAAACATTAGATTTGATTAATGAGCAGCATAAGTCACTTGAACATCTGTTACCACAACACAGAGGTATACATTTATGTTCTGCATGTTCCTCTGAGATGAGTATGACTTAGGAACATCTGGATAACAGCGAAATTGGACAAATGGCATGCTTTTGATAGAATTTAAGCAACCTGTAATTTAAAATATATGGGGCTCAGTTTGTCATACAAGGAGCCCACATCTCGCAAAGGAAAGGAATAATCTAAGAGAATCTTGAATAGCATCTTGAATACTATATTTTAAATACATGCCAGAGTCTTTACTTGAACTAAAGTTGTTGGAGAAAGTTCCTGTTTTTCCAACAGGCTGGACCTATGCTGTGCTGGGTCTCTGAAATCTCCTGTACCTATCTGAAGTCCTCTCTAAATCATAATTTTAGAATTAGGGACAGTAGAGGCTTCTTCTTGCTTTTGGAGCATTAACAGCAATGAGTTGGTGGGAGAGCGACAGAAGAAACGAATAAATAGATTAGTTCCTGAGAAGTGATAAAGGGAACTTTTGACTGATCATAGCAGTATATGTTCATTTGATGACCCTAGGTAATGTTCTCTATTAAAATGCAATTTCTGTTTTATTTGCGGAATATATATAAAACTTTTTTTGTGTTTTGGGGTATTTCTATATAAGTATTTAACATGATTTGTTTATACACTGCTAAATGCATATTGGAAGATCTACAATTACTGTAACTCAGTGCTTTGACTGGCTGGAGAGTGGGTATTAATGCTTGCTAAAATCTTTATTTTCTGTTTCTCTATTGAAAAGTGATATTGCTTGACATCTTAAACTGCAACAATCAGTAATATTATTAATTATTAATCCTAACATTTGCACCTTATAGTGCTGACATTTCTCAAAGTGCTTTGTAGTATTTTCTATCAAGTGTTTCAGTGAACATAGCAGCCATTTTGAACACGGTCCCTAAAACAGTCATAATTCTGTTTAACATCCCATGCCCATATATTCTTGCTTCTGTGCACATCGTTATGTTATAACATGGCAGACCAGTTTCTGGGAATAAGTTGTCCTTCTTAATGATGACTTTGCAACAGAGAACAATTGAGTTTTTTTATAAATTGTGAATAAACTTTGTATGACTAGATCATAAAAGATGCATCTCTCCCACATTCAAGCTTGAAAAAGGGTATTGTTTGCTTAACATATCATCATGATAGCATTTGATTTCATCCTTTGTATTTTTAAATTTATCTTATCTTAATACTTGTTATTCCAATTTTAGGTTCCAACTGGATCGTTCTAATGGCTGACAATGATGGATTTATTCCATTACTATTCAAACACAAGCAGCAAATAATGATTCGGGATGGGAATCAAGTATCACAAACTGCAGAATTTCCTCCACCTCCACCGCCACTAAACAACATTGATTCAGAGAAACGGTAGAACCCAACATAGCCTGTGCTTGGATGGGAAATAATATAATACTTCCAAACAAGTTCTGTTTTAATGTGTGCTACTGTTGTGTTCCTATCCAGGTAGTTCAATAATATTTGTGTTAAAAAAAAGTATGAGTTTATGTTGATTATCTGATTGGGTGAATATCCAAACAAAAGTCTCAGGCTTGGATAATATTTTCTTTTGCCACTTTACCTGCCCAGTGAGTGGGCAGACAGGATCTCTTAGATTTTGCTTTTGGTAGTTGATTAACTGCTAATCTTTACCTTGAGGCTGTTGCAGATTTGAGTTGGGAATTGAAATTACAGAAAGGCATGATGATAAAATCAACTTCAAAAATTGTCTTTACAGAAATATTGTCAACTATAATGTTCTAATCATCTGAAGAATATGTTGTGCTGACTCAAATCTGATTAGGAGGTCACAGCACTTCCTCTTCCCAAGTTCCAGTGTATGTATGAAGAAATATTTGCAACATTCTCTAATGTTATTACAATGAAAATTTATATTTACTGTTTATGGTTCACAGTTCAATAGTAAGGCAGTGGCTTTGAGCCCCACTCAGCACTTTGATCATATAATAATAATAATAATAATAATTTGATGTAGCATCTTATCAGGACATTGAGACGTCTCAAAGTACTTCACAGAATATATTATAAAGTGAATTAACTGTGTATTTTGTGGGTGAAACACGGCAGCCAATTTTGTACAGCGGTGCCCCACAGACAGTCGGGGATTGAGTAACAATTTTTGTTCAGTTTTGGAGGGATTAATTTATGACCCCTGGAAAATGATACGTCATTCGACCGACAACAGAGTTACTACTTGTGGAGCAAGGAAACTTACCTAAGTTTTCACCCTACTGGGAATCAAACCCAGGTCCTCTTGCTTGCAAGGCAAGTGCGCTAACCACTACGTAATGGGACTCCATAATCCTGTATGTAGTACAGAGTACACTTCATTGAAATGCTGGGGGAATGCTACGTTATCAGAAGTCCTTCGAATGAGATGTTAAACCATGGACACGTTTGCTTGTTCAGGGGTTGTTAAAGATCCTATAGCACGATTTGAAAAGAGAAGGGAGTTTATGTCCTGACCAACAATCCTCCAAATAGAATTGGTCAGTCATTTTCATGGTTGTTTGTAAGACATTGCTGACAGAACATTGGCTGCCTCTTGTGCTTCCAAATAATCACTAAGCTTTATAATAATACCCTATGAAGCACTTTTGAGACTTTGTGATGATGTGATAAGGTGCTACATCAAATGTAAAGATTATATCAGAATTACTTTCATTCGTTCCCACTGAAAAAAACAAAGCATACTGACAAAAGTTAGTGGTGAGCATCTGAATTGCTGCATTCAGGCTAATACTGAAGACAGACATATGGGATGTTATGAAGGGAAATATTTTTCTTTGTCATTTAGGGCTTTGGGGTTTGTTAATAACAAATTCCAGATATTTTGCTCTGGAAGCTCTGGAATTGTGCTTAGATGCTGATCTTAATTTCGACTTCCATGAAGTCGGCGTCTGCATTCGGGACTCACTGGTTACAAATCATTTTTTGGATCTTGCGATTTTAACCCCACTGTCATACACATCCGAGAATGTATTATTCACCATGTAAATTTTATTTCCGCACATGCTATTTTAATATGCAGTTAAATGTTATATTTAATTTTTGTTCACTGTTTAAAGACTGCTTAAATATGTTGCTGTAGAATGTAGTTTGTTTCAGAAGGAAAATGTGACAAGGTGCTTCATTCCTACAACTCAGGCATTTCGTTCAAGAGGAGCAGGGACAGAATCAGAATGAGTTTCCCCACCACCTTCTCCTGCATCTTGTTCCTTTCAGCTGAGCGCTTTACATGGTTTAATTTGTATTGGAGCACAAGTTGTTGTGTGAGAGATTTTAAACAGCTACAAAGGTCTGAATCCATGTTTTATTAAAAGCGATTTTTAAAGCCGTGATGTGCTAGGAGCTATTGTATCCATATTCAAGTATATTCTAATGAATACAATTATATTCTTTGTAGTTTTGGAAGCTCGAAATACATACAATTTCACATGAGATTGCAGATTTTTGGCATATTATTTTCGGTGAAGCAAAGATAGTTTTTAAAAAATTCAGAAAATAGAAATAGTTCTGCACCTCAGCTCTGGTCACTTCACAAGGAAAAGGAAAATGACGTCTTTTAAAAGAGAAAATAACTGAAAGTAAATCATTGAGAGGATTTCTTCCCTGAGCGATAGCTTACCTATGTTGCCCACAAATTACAGTCAATCCACTTCACAGTAAATCCTGTGAAATGCTTTGAGAAGTCTCAACGATTTGATAAGGTGCTATGTCAAAATGTAAGGATTATTAATTACATTATGCAATAATGTACAAGATAGCTTCTTGGAAAACAGCCATATCTGCTCTCCTAGTTATAAAAGAGCCACCCAGATTTTGTATCCATTGAGCTTATTTTAGCCAGCTATCCTTTTGAATGGGGATAGTTCGTTCTTTCTTGACCCAGGGCTTTCCTGGTATTGCACTATGAATATCAGCCAGGACTTGAGCTGTATCATTTTCAAGTTGGACCTGGCGATGATGCCTGATGGAGTCTGACACATGCAGAAACCCATCACCATGCTTTAGAGCAGGAGTTCCCAAACTTTCTGGGCTCATTGGCCATCTGGACTGAGGGACCCCTTACACAATAAATCCATAGCAATTGAATATCTTACTTAAATTGGAAACAACTTTCAAAAGAATGAAAGAAAATAAATAAAAAGTAATGTTTCCAATATTAATGTAGATATCACACAAACCCTGCGTTCTGCACCTCACCCACCAATGGCATTGTCTGACCGAATTGGTCAGATTTCAGCAAGTGACGGACGGCTCCTGGAGCTGCGGAGGCTGTGATTGATCAGTGAGGGTGGAGCTCACATTGGTCCACACAAGCTCAAACTTGTAGCGACAGTGTTCCAGTTGCCTCCTCGTGCATCCTGGGCTCCTCAGGAGTCCGCAGACCCCAGTTTGGGAACTAATGCTTTAGGACAGGGATGGCCAACTTGTGGCCTGCATGACTATTTTACAGCCTGCAGGCAGATCACGTGTTTAGAGAACCTTTAGAGTATCCAACCTAGACAGAATGCTATATATGTTTGCCACCCACACACACTCTCTTCCTGCACCCTACTGACATAATTCTGGAAGTATTAGGTGTAGGTTGGTGAGAGCCAAGCCTTGGGAACACAACTTATCCAGACTTCAGAGCTTCATCCTCACAGATCAATGCAGAACTCTGCAGACTTGTCCTCTCCCACAACAGGCTCCGCGACCCTATCATCTCCATCCTCGCCCGACTCCACTGGCTTCCTATCACACAAGATACAGTTCAAGATTCTGGTCTACACTTTCAAAGCTCTCTATGGCCTTGCTCCCCCCTACTTCTGCGACCTCGTAACCTCCTACCAACCTGCTCGCTCCCTCTGCTCAGCGGGTTCCGGTCTTCTTACGTCCCCTGCCTCGCCCGCCCCACCATCATTGGGTGGGCCTTCAGCCACTGCTCTTACTCTCTGGAACTCCAGCCCGCAGACCCTCTGCATCGCTCCTCTCAAGACCCATCTCAAGATTCTCTTTGTCCATGCCTTTGGTCACACTCCTCCCCCTACCCTCCATCCTCCCCGATCCTGACCCCCAGCTCGGGTCCAAATTACTGCCTTGGGATGTTCTCCCGATGTGAAAGGCGCTTTACAAATGTAATTTTGATGTTCAGCTTGCAGGTTTAACAGGAGCTGAGTGGGAAGCATCACTGTTCCAAGTCCTGTCGATGAGCCAAGCAGGCTGGGCTTCATCAGCAGTCCTCTGGAATACAGTGGACCTGCTTGGCTCAGGAACAGGACAACCCCATTAACTTAATTCCAATATTCTATTGTCAAACACGTCATCTTGGAACCAGCTCAATTCCAAGGAGACCTGCTTACAAAGCCCCCCCAACTCCACCCAAAGAGATAGGCTCAAATGGATAATTTTACATCCAAGGCATGATGCAACAATAACAACAAAATTACATTTATAGAGCGCCTTTCACGTTAGGAGGATGTCCCAAGGCGCTGGACAGTCGGGTCAGGACCCGAGCATGGGGGAGGGGTGGGGTAGAGGTGAGGGAAGGCAGAGAGGTGGGAGGACAACTGAAGGCACGATCGAAGAGGAGGGTCTTGAGACCGTCCTTGAAAGAGGCAAGGGAGGAAGCGAGGCGAAAGGACTGTGGGATAGGCGGTGGCAGACTAAAAAATAAGCACTTTCACAGGTAACATTTTCAGTAAATGTTTTAATTACTATATCTAAGAAGGACATTACATTGAATTAATGTATTCTCCCTCACCCCTTTAATGCTATTCAGTGTTTATTTTAATAACAAAGTCCAATTTGCACTATTTCTTAACCAGATTCCTGAATAAAGAATCCTAACATATTCCAAAAATAGGTTGGTTAAAAGTGAGATCGGAAACAGTTCTTCACACAGAGCCTCGTGAAATTGTGGATTGCATTCCCCTGCAAGTCCATCAAGGCTGAATCAATTGGAATGTTTAAAAGGAAAATTGATAGATACTTGGAAGTACTGTAGCGAGCATTTATTTCAGGTCATCCAGGTGTTGCAGTCAATGACAACCATAGTTGGTGAAGAAAGATCAACTTTATTAGGCCCAACACCAAGAAATTAGGTAAACCGAGTGTAGAGGGCACCAACAGCATGGGATATCCACTCCCTAACCCACTGCTTTCCAGACTCCTTATTCCCTGATGTAGAAAGGCAAGGCTACTCCACATGGGAAAAGGAAGCCTGGAAAGGAGCAGGTAAGGCTCCTCCTAAGGACCATCCACAGGCTTCCCTTCTGTAGGGGAGTCTAGATTATCTACCTGAGAGAGAATCCTATTGGAGTGCACCATGCTGGAGATTCAAGTGACTTTTCCATCGTGCACAA